TCTCCTTCCTCCCGCATTATCGCATCTTCCTTATCCCCTCTTTAACTCGACTCTGTCTCCGTCGGCCTTTCTGCTTTTCGTCCGTTTGTGCTTTTGGAACTCTCTCCTTCTTCTCCTTCTCCTTCTTCTCCTTCTCCTTCTTCATTCTACCTCCTTTGAATCCTTTCCCCTCTCTCTATCAGCCTCTTCCTTGGTCTCTCCAGAATTCCCGCCCACTCCTCTCCGCCTCCTTCTCTGCCTTCGCTCTCCTCCTTCCCTCAAGGCTTTTGGCGCCAGTGCCTCGCCCCTTCCTCCGCCTCCTCCTCCTCCTTTTTCTTCTTCCTACTCTTGTTGCCCGTCTTCTTTGTCGTCGTCTTCTTGTTCTGCACTTTCTTTACCTCCACCTTCTTTTCCTTCTCTTTCTCTTCCTTTCCTTTTCTTTCTCTTTCTCCTCCTCCTTCCTTCGCCCTGATTCGCCTTATCTTCGCTCGCCTCGCGTCGCGCCCCAATCCGGCTGTCCATTATCTCCCCTCTTCTGCCGTACGTCGTCTATCTCTATCCCTTTTTCTTTGTACACCAGCCTTTTGCCGCTCGCTCCCCTCCTCCCCCCCTCCTTCCACCTCCATCCTCCACCCCCCTCCTTCCACCTCGACTTCCTTACGCGCTTCCGAACAACGAAGGTGGACGTGCATGATAACGCGCGTGGCTTCCCTGCGGCCTGTTATCGTGCCGTTCGCTCGCGTCCTCCGCCGCCCTCTCGCCTGCTCGCCCGGGCTTCCCGTTTCGTCTGGCGGATCTCTGCTTTTTTAGGTCTTTTACTTTTTTGTTTTGTTTTTTCTAGCATGGGGTTGCTGCTATCACTGCATTCGGTTAGTCGCTTGTTATGCTCCCTTAGCCCTCCTCCTCCTCCTCTAGCTAGCCATTTTCCTCTTCTCCCAATTCTCGTCGTTTTTCTCTTCTTCCTCTTCCTCCTCCCCTTTTTCTCTCCCCTCCTCCTCTCCTTCTCCTCCTCCTCCGCGTGCTCAGAGCAAGACGAGGGCAATAGAGGTTCCCATCAAAGGGGGAGAGACGGAAGGAGTTTCATAGGCCTACGCCATCGACTTGGCCGCTCACTGAGATCTGCGGGAGGGGGGGAGAGGGGGAGGGAGGGGGAGGAGAAGGAAGGGAGGAAGAAGGGGAAAGGAGGGAGGGAGAGGGGAAGGGAGGAAAGAAGAAGGAGGGGATGGGAGGGAGGGACGAAGGGGAGGGAAGGAAGAGGGGGAAGGAAGGGAGGGAGGGAGGAAGAGAAGAGAGAGAGGGGAAGAGAAAAGAGGACGACACGACGAAAGAAAGGACGAAGAATAAACCGCAATAAAGCCCCGAATAAAAGGCCAAAAGGGGAGACAGTGCGGTACAGAAGCGCGTCGACGGCGGCCTGACAAGAGGAGGAACTTTTATGCAGGTTTTATGTCGTCTTCCCCCCCTCCCCCTCCCCCTTGAACCGCCCCTCCCCCGCCCTCCCACAGGCGACAAGGCCCTCCCGCTCTTAAAATCGCTCTTAAAATTGGCCCCAGCGTCTCCAAAAAAAGGGGGGGGTGCATTCACTCGAGACGCGGACACGGGGCGAACGGGCCTCCGGATTGTCGGGGGAGAGGGAGGGAGATAAAGGAAAGGGGGAGGGGAGGGGAGGGGAACGGGTAGGAGGAGGGGAGAGGGAGGGGATGGAGCAGGGGAGGGGAAGGGGGTGATGAAGGGGATAGGGTAGGGGAGGGGAAGGGGGAGGGGGTGGAGTAGGGGAGAGGGAGACGATAGAGGGGGAGGAGGGGTTAAGGAGAGGGAACACTGTACTCCTTGAAACGACGCGGCACGTGGTCATCTCGCTACGACTCGAGGGCGCATGCCAGACCCCCCCCCCCCATCTTCCCTGCCCTGACCTTAGGTTTTGACGACGAAATGGACTGATGTGAGGCATTTGGTGGCAAAATAAATGAATAAAATAAATAAAATAGAGCCTGGGAAATTACCTGCGACTTTTGGGGAAACAAAACAACAAAATGAAGTAAGATAAAAATAAAGTAAAGAAATTCAAAAAGTATATCCACGAAAAAGAGAGAGCGAAAAAGAGAGATAATGGGAAAGAGAATGAGAAAGAGAGAGAGAGAGAGAGAGAGAGAGAGAAAGAGAGAGAGAGAGAGAGAGAGAGAGAGAGAGAGAGAGAGAGAGAGAGAGAGAGAGAATGAGAAAGAGAGAGAGAGAGAGAGAGAGAGAGAGAGAGAGAGAGAGAGAGAGAGAGAGAGAGAGAGAGAGAGAGAGAGATAGAGAGAAAGGAGAGATGTCCACCAAGACCAGCGAAGGGAGCGGGGAAGGGGGGGAGGGGGGCACCGAAGGCACGCAACCCCTTCGGAGTCTCGAGTTTAAAGAGATGCGGCCGAGGGATCGGGGATCAGGTTGAGCTTCCCGCTTTCCCCGTCGGCTCCCGAGGGCGGTCTCACGGCCTCGCTCTCTCCTCCTCCTCCTCCTCCTCCTCCTTCTCCTCCTCCTCCTCCTTCTCCTCCTTCTTCTTCTTCTTCTTCTTCTTCTTCTTCTTCTTCTTCTTCTTCTTCTTCTTCTTCTTCTTCTTCTTCTTCTTCTTCTTTCTGTCTGTCTCCGTGTCTCAGTTGTGGGGAGATGTGTACGCATGCATTCAGCGTCAATATATACATATCGATACTTACGATAACACGAGAGAGAGAGAGAGAGAGAGAGAGAGAGAGAGAGAGAGAGAGAGAGAGAGAGAGAGAGAGAGGGAGGGAGGGAGGGAGGGAGGGAGGGAGGGAGGGAGGTATGGGAGGGAGGGAGGTATGGGAGAGAGGGAGGTATGGGAGAGAGGGAGAGAGGGAGAGAGGGAGAGAGGGAGAGAGGGAGAGAGAGAGAGAGAGAGAGAGAGAGAGAGAGAGAGAGAGAGAGAGAGAGAGAGAGAGAGAGAGAGAGAGAGAGAGAGAGAGAGGGAGGGAGGGAGGGAGGTATGGGAGGGAGGGAGGTATGGGAGAGAGGGAGGTATGGGAGAGAGGGAGAGAGGGAGAGAGGGAGAGAGGGAGAGAGGGAGAGAGGGAGAGAGGGAGAGAGGGAGAGAGAGAGAGAGAGAGAGAGAGAGAGAGAGAGAGAGAGAGAGAGAGAGAGAGAGAGAGAGAGAAAGGAAAGAGAAAATGTGAGTGTGTGTCTCTCTCTCTCTCTCTCTCTCTCTCTCTCTCTCTCTCTCTCTCTCTCTCTCTCTCTCTCTCCCTCTCTCCCTCTCTCTCTCTCTCTCACTCACTCACTCACTCACTCACACTCACTCACACTCACTCTCACACACACACACACACGCACACGAAGGCATTCAAGGAAAACCGAGAGGAAATCAGCCGGACTCGGGCGGCGGCGCTGGCGGGGGGGGGGGGGGTTGAGGCGGCGAGGAACCGGTAGGCCTGGAGGGGAGATTAGCACGCGAATATCAGCTGTCCTCAGCCCCCCCCCCCCTCCGCCCCCCCTCCTGATTTCCCTTCCCCTTTCCCTTCTTTCCTAAATCCCTTCCCTTCCCTCCCCTCCCCTTCCCCTCCCCCCCTCTCCTTCTCCCATGGGCCCAGGCATATGTCGTGCAGGTAACTGGTGGTGGTCAGAGAGAGAGAGAGAGAGAGAGAGAGAGAGAGAGAGAGAGAGAGAGAGAGAGAGAGAGAGAGAGAGAGAGAGAGAGAGAGAGAAAGAAAGAAGGTAGAGGGGGTGAATAATGCATCTACAAAAACAAATAAATATACAAACATGCACATCCATCCATCCATCCGAACACACATCCACAAACGCAACGCCCCAGAAGCTAAAAAATCGAGGCCTATCCCTATCCCATATTTTTCGCCTCGACTTCGCAGCGCCGTAATTTAATTTCCTTTAATTGGCGAACCGGACATTACATTTTTATTGAATCAGGTGCCACGCGCGGCGCTGACCCTCCCTCTCCGGCTCTCGGCTCCGCACTGAAGGGGACGCGACCTGAACAGACTCGACAGGGGAGGGAGAGCTGGAGAGGAAGGGGTGGGAAGGGAAGGAGGAAGGAAGGAGAAGGAAAGAGAGAGGGAAAGAGGGAAAGAGAGAGAGAGAGGAGAGAAGAGAGAAGAGAAGAGAAGAGAGAAGAGAGAAGAGAAGAGAGAAGAGAAGAGAAGAGAAGAGAAGAGAAGAGAAGAGAAGAGAAGAGAAGAGAAGAGAAGAGAAGAGAAGAGAAGAGAAGAGAAGAGAAGAGAAGAGAAGAGAAGAGAAGAAGAAAAGAAAAGAGGGAGGGAGAGGAAAAGAAAAAAGAGATAAAGAAAAAAGAGAAAAAGAGAGAGAGAAAGTACGAGAGTAAGAATGGTGTAGACAGAGATGAACTAGGGTGGAAAGTCTATGCAAATTACACAGGGAACACAAGCCTAAATATTCAAGGCTGTGCGTCCACACCTAACATTTTTTTTTTATCAGTTTCATTAATTCATCGGAGGTTTCTCATTTCGAAATCACAAAGGAAAATATGAAACAAAGAGCAAGGGTAGTGATATAACAGAACAATATCAGGAAGATTACTGGTGTCCATAAACAAGCAAGCAGATAGATAAATACATAGATAAAACGATTAGATTTCTGTTCCTCCTCCTCTCCCTTCTCCCTTCTCGTTCCCTCCTCTCCTCCTCTTCCCTCCTCTCCTCCTCTCCTCCTCTCCTCCTCCTCCTCCTCCTCCTCCTCCTCCTCCTCCTCCTCCTCCTGTTCTACTTCTTCTTCTTCATTGAAAGAGAAGCAGAAAGCAAAAACAGATCAACGATCTTTAATCAGAGAGGAAGAAACATGCGAATAATGTTCAATGAAGCTGCCCGTTTGGACGGATTTTCCCCTCCACCCGCAGCCCCGGAGACAGGGAGTGAGCGAGTCGGACAGCCTGTCAGACAGAGATCCGTGGCAGAAATTACAGCCGTGACACCTCTCATCCGTCGCAAGTGACACGTGGATTTCCTTAATTAAGGTCAGCAGGCATATCAAAAAGGGGGGGGGGGGAGTCTTACCGGAGTAGGCCTATGCCACTTCTGCAACTCGCAACTCACCTGCAACAAAGAAGAAAAAAAGAGTTAATATTTCCAAATCTTAAGAGGGTTATACACGAAACACAATAACTTGTACAAACCAGACAGATAACCCTCTAAACGACAGATAAACAACAAGCAACAAAACAGATAAACAAAAAGGACACACAAAGCAACAATGCCCACAGAAAGCCCGAGGAATGCACCTGGGATCCAAATCCCTGCCCCCCCGTGTCAGCCGTCCGCCGCGAGCGCCTCCGCCGAGGGCGCCGAGCGAGGTCGCCGGGTGCAGCGCCACCTCCGGCGGGGCTCCGGCTCGTCGTCAAGGGAAACCGTTTCTAACTCATCCCGCCTTTGCAACGTACTGCGCGAACCGATGCAATCAGAGCGGCGGATCGGGTGTCTATCAAAGCTCCGGTGTTAATCCAGAAGCGCCGCCAATTCCACCTCCGCGATCTTGCCTTCTGGAATTTGCTTTTTACAGTGCATACGCAATCGTACATTATTGGGTCAGGAGGGAAACATGGTGCCGTTGTGCTGGGGGGCGGGGGAGGGGGGAGATGATGATGATGAGAGAGAATGAGAATTAAATAGAAGGAGAGAGCGAGAGAGGCCAGCGCCCATCAGCATTGCCCGCCCCTTGACCCAAATAGCGGCTTCCACAGGTGTCACCCGCAGGAGGCGTGCGGCGACCTCCCCCCAGGTCGCTCTATACTGTATGGAACGCGTCCGTCTGTGTCGAGGCATTTACCTCCGGCAGGTGCGGTTGTCATGGCGACTCGGCTGCGGGCGTTCGCTCCCGGGCGCCGGCGACGCCCTTCTCGCAGGCCCTCTCCGTTGCCTCTTGCCGGCTTGGAGGACTCCCCGTCGGCGCCCCGGAATGCAAAAGGGATTATGCTTGCGATTCGAGAGACAGTCGGACGGACCTCACGATGAGCGACAGAGCACAGGGCCCCGACCCTGGCTGCTGGCCCTCATCCCCTGCCCCTGGACGCTGCACCCATTGCCTCCTCCCCTTCCCCTGCCACTCGAAGCACCTGAGGTTAAGGTGCAAGAGGCGAGGAGGGGGCAGGCGGGGGGGAGAGGGAGAGGAGGAGGGGGAGCTAATAATATATATTAGCAGCGGCAGACTGACCACGGGGCCCGCCAGGCGTCCCTCGCTCATTGGGCAACCTCGTAAACCGGCCTCCCTGCCGACGCGGAGCTAGGCCCACTCCCATGCCCTGGCGTGCCCTCATCCTCACGCCCCGCCCCCTGCCCCTTCCTCATCAACGCCCGCCCCTTACCCGCGAGGCGCTCCCCTTCAGGTCCCCTGAAAGGCGTGCGGGCGTGGGCTGGACTCGCGAAACAACCTGCGACTGCCCTCCGCTGGCCGCTGGTCTTTACATCGGGGTTGGCGCCCCCGAGGGAGAGCAAATAAGGCTCGGCCTCGCGGAATCAACCACAAAGATCAACCACAAGGATCAACCACTACATCCACCCGCGTCTACCGCCCACCAGACACTCGACTGCCGATCCGCACCGACTCCTTCCCGGCCATTCATTTTCGTCTATTTATACCCGTCACTTCGGGCGCCACACACGGACGGCCGATAACTCAGGACTCCGCTCCATGAGCCTCTTCGTGAGCTATTGTTCCTCCGCGGCGTCCGTGTCCTCTCCCCTCTCTGTCTCTGCTCAGTGCTCCCTCTCGCTACCCCCTTCCCTCCCTCGCCCTCTCCCTCTCACTATCACTCTCCTTCTCTCTCTCTCACTCTATATATAATATATATTTTATATATACATATACATACATATACATATGTGCGTTTGTGTGTGTGTGTATGTCTGTACGTATGCATACGATCGCGCGAGCGCACGCACAAGCACGAACGCACACGCACGAACGCTCGCATACACACACACACACGTACACATACACATCTACTATTCATATTAAAACTACATTTTCTATCTTCGGAGACTCGCTCTCACTGTCTCTCTTCCTTCCTTCCATCTGTCCGTTGCTGCTTCTCCGTTTTTTCATCCCTGCCTTTTCTTTATTGTTTTCCCATCCTCCTCCGATTCTAGTTTCTCTTTCGATGTGTTTCTATCCTTCCTCCTTTCCCTTCTCCTTACCTCCTCCTCCTCCTCCTCTTCCTCCTCCTCCTTCGTCTCCGTCTTTTTCATATTCTTTTTCGCCTCCTCTCCCCTCCCTCTCCCCCTCCTCTCCCCCCCTTCCTCCTCCTCCTCTCCCCTCCTCCTCCTCCTCCTCCTCCTCCTCCTCCTCCTCCTCCTCCTCCTCTCCTCCTCCTCCTCCCCCCCCCTCCTCCTCCTCCTCCTGCAGGCGCCGGAGCCCCTCGCCCCAGCCGTTCCCCGGGGCGCCTCGTTCCCCGCGCTCCTTCCGCGAGCGCTCGCAGGGCAGGAATCGCCCCATTTTAAAAGCCATCCGAAATATGAGTCCTCGGCCGGGCTGCCAATCTCCGGCGCGGGGCGAGAGGCGCTCGGGCCGGAGGTGCGCGTAAGGCTCGCGTCCCCGGGGCAGCGCTGCGAGAAACAACCCCTAACGGCGGGCGTGGGTTAGCACTGTCCCGCCGCCGGTCCCCCGGAGACGGAATTTACGGCAGTGTCTGGTGTCCGTGTCAAAGGGCAGCCGTCGGGTCTTGATGTTGCACAATAACGAAATAAATTCTGGCAATAAATCCGGTAATAAATGTTCAAATAAACGTTCGGTTATGGCGGCCAGGACAATTAGGGATCGTGAGGCGGAGGGTCACTTTGTGCGGTGACAGAGCGGTTCTGCTGGGCGGCCCGGTGGGGAGGGGGGAGGGCGAGGGGCATAGGGGCATAGGGGCAGGGGAGGCATACAGTGCAGCATACACGGCCACATGCCACCAGCGGGTAACAATTAAAACCTCGCCGCCAACAACTTCATCATAACGATGGTAGTCACGCTCGTCGCCTCTCGACCTGCTCAGGGACGCCGCTGACTGACTTCTGTTTAAACTAAGTAACTAAAATAAAGACAAGAGGAATTGGAGGGAGGGAGGGAGATAGAGATAGATAGACAGATAAAGAGAGAGAGAGAGAGAGAGAGAGAGAGAGAGAGAGAGAGAGAGAGAGAGAGAGAGAGAGAGAGAGAGAGAGAGAGAGAGAGAGAGAGAAGGATATGGGAGGAGAAGAAGAAAAAGAAGAAGAAGAAGAAAAAAAAGGAGGAGGAGAAGGGGAGGAGAAGTGGAGGGATGAGGATGAGGAGGATGAGGATGAGGATGAGGATGAGGATGAGGAGGAGGAGGAGAAGAAGAAGAAGAAGAAGAAGAAGAAGAAGAAGAAGAAGAAGAAGAAGAAGAAGAAGAAGAAGAAGAAGAAGAAGAAGAAGAAGAAGGAGAAGAAGAAGAAGAAGGAGAAGAAGAAGAAGAAGAAGAAGAAGAAGAAGAAGAGAGAGGAGGAGAAGGAGGGAGGAAGCGGCCCGACGCAAACAGGGAAAAGGGCGCAGGCAGGCAAGTGGCTCTGCGCGAGGGCCTCCGCGTCGCCCTGGCTCCTGGCTCTGTCGCCTGCTGAGGACTCTGCATATATCTTTCTATCTGTCTATCTATCTATCTGTCTCTCTGGGTACCTGTCTATCTATATGTTAATCTGCCTATCTATGTTTTCACCTGCCTATCTATCTGTTTATCTGTCTATCTATCTATGTTTTCATCTGCCTTTCTATGTTTATCTATTTATCTATCTTTTCATCTGCCTATCTATCTGTTTATCTGCATCTATCTCCCTATAAACTATTTACCTATGATTATCTACATCTCCCTATCTATCTATTCATCTCTATATCTGTTTATCTATATCTATCTACCTACCTACTTACCCATCAACTTATCCATCCACCTATTTATCGACCAATCTGTCTGTGCTGTCTGCTCCTTGCTAAATAGACATTCGGGCAAAAAATAAATACCTGACATTGACATCAGAGACAAAGGAGAACGATGTCTCAACCCCTTTTGCGCTTCCTTCTCCCCCCACCCCCCTCCTTCCCTCCCTTCTCCTGCCTCCTCCCTCCCTTCGTTTACTCCCTCTCTCCCTTCCTCCCCGTTTTCGTTAACCCCCACCTTTCCGTCCGCCCCTCCCTCCCTCCCTCCCTCCGTCCTTCCCTCGTTCTCGCAACTCCCTACTCCTCCTTCCCTCCCCCTCCCTCCCTCCTTCCCTTCCTCGTTCTCGCCCCCCTCCCCCCCGCCATTGCCAACCGAAGCCTAGGCCTACGACGCCGGGCCCTCCTCGGCGGCAGTTCCCTCGCGTGTGTGAGCCACATTCTTAACGCAGGGCCAGCGAGGCCGACTGCCGCGGCGGCGTCGACCCCGCCCGCGCCCTCCGCGTTGAGGGGGAGGGGAATATAAAAGAGAAAAAAGAGAGAAAGAAACAGAACGAGGCCCAGGGGGGAATGGCGGCCAGTCGTGCCAGCGATCCTTAAATCAAGCACAGCGTGATTACCACCAGTGGAGTAATTACAGGCCCTCCCCCTCTTCCCCTCCCCCATTCTCTTTCCCCCACACCTGTCGCTCCATTCCCCTCCCCTTCACCCCTACATTCCCCTCCCCGTCTCCTATTCTCTCTTCTCCTCCTCTATTCCTCTCCTATCTATCCCCCTCCACCCCTCCACCTCCCTACCCCCCATTACCCCAGCCTCCCCCCCCCTCCTCTCCTTCCTCCCCTCCTCATGACTGAAAAAAAATAGCAGTCGCCAGCAGTTCGACTAAGGCGCATTTTCACCTCTATGGCATGATACTCCCCCTCCCCCCCTCCCCCCCTCCTTTCCCGTAGGCCTACACTGGCAATTGATTATTATTGAAAACCCGACGTAATCCCGGATGTGCGAGGAGCGGAAATAACTTACAAATTAAAGAGCTGGAGACACGAGATGGAACAAGAACGAGAGAGAGAGAGAGAGAGAGAGAGAGAGAGAGAGAGAGAGAGAGAGAGAGAGAGAGAGAGAGAGAGAGAGAGAGAGAGAGAGAGAGAGGAAGGAAAGGAGGGAAGGAGAG